TGGCAGCTTTGTGGGCAGGAAATCATTTGTATTCTCTGGTTTAAATCAATGACCTTCTTTTCTTTGCTGTTCCAACAGGAAATTATAAACTCTGTGAACACTATTTGCATAGTGCCTTCTGCAATACACTTGTATATGCCTGGGCAAAACAATATGTTAACCCCAGCAGTGCTTCTCTGAGGTCCCTGTTAGAGAAACACAAGCACTTTAGCACAGAGCTTTTCAGCAGGCACTTGTATTTACTAGAAGAGGAGACAGACTAGAAAAGATGTGAAAAGAGCTCCTTCTCCACTTCCAACAGCACCACCAAGAGATGAAGGCATTATTATTTAATAACAGGGTTGCCTGCTGCAGAGTATGAAAAAATGCCTTCTTTGTAACTTGGTAAGATTTTGTATTTTCAGTATGACAGACAGAAACTTGCTACTTCTACATTAAAGCTGCATTTGCACTTTTGTATCTTGCCCTAATGTGCCAGGTACAATTTGAAAGTGTTATATTTTTGCTTAAACTCATCATTACAGAGTTCTTGTTTTTGAAAGTTTCAGCCTCCTCTGTCCCATCCTTTTGCAAAATTCACTTAAGAAAAAGAAATTGCCACAATATCTTGCCATGCTTATGGGAAGCTGTTCCAGGGAGGTGACATTCTGAGAAAAGGCAGTGTTGAACTTGGCACTGAATTTGCCTTCTAACATTTTCTGCTGCCCTGCACCACTTTAAATCCAGATCAGCTATTTTTTTTAGCATGTAGGAGAGCTGGCATTCAAGAAGACAAGCAAGTCACAGGAGACAGAGGGAGGTATGTGACACCTTTTTCTATATTTCCCCCAGTGTGATCACAGTGCAGCCCCAAAGTCTGGGATTCCTGTCTATGGCCAGAGCTAAGTGTTGCAGGCACCAGCAAATGGCACTGTAAAACCCCTGGATGTACCTATTTTCATCCTGTGCAGGAGAATGATACAGTAAATCAGTATGGAAAACATGATGATAACCCCAGAAACTACCAAGGCCTCAGTGTAGTCTTCACTAGAATCAAATGTCATAAAATTCAGGCATCCAAATTTCTCTGCTTTGCTTTTTCACATGACAAGTCCTTTCAGAGTAGTTCTCAGCATCCCTCCTGTGCTCCCAGTGCCGCTGGCACAAAGATGTAGTAATCAGTTGATACCTGAAGTACATTTATTAGTTATGTCACAGTTCTCCCTCTCTGAAACAAAAAGGAGAGGAATGATTCTCTGAGTGATTGAAGTGGAAGTAACACATGATTCTTGAGCTCCTCCCTTGTTTCTATTAATCTGCCAGATGGAAAGTTGCCTATCCTGACCCCACAAGCATTTCACTCCTTCCCACTGCAAACTTTAAGTGCTTGTTGGGGTCCCTTCCAGAGCTCCTGGCTGCTGGAGCACCCTTTGCATTTCTAAAATTTGCAGTTCCTGATTGAAGGGAGCCACCGAGTAAATGAGTTGTATCACTTTCTCCCTGACAAGAGACTAAAGTAGCATCACAGTATCATATAAGGCTGAGGCTGTGACCTCTCTGGAGGTCACTTTTTCCAATATCCTTGCTCAAATTTGGTTGCCTACAGGTGGTTGTCCGGCTTTTGAGTATCTCCAAGGATGGAGACTCCACAACCTCCCTGGGCAACCTGTGCCAGCAATTAGTCAACCTCACAGTGAAAAAACCTTTCCTGATATTCAGACTGCCTTTCCTGTGTTTCAGTTTGTGCTCATGGCCTCTGGTTCCATCACTGGGCACTGATGGAAAGAGCCTGGGTCCCTCTTCTTTACATTCTCCCTTCACATACATTGATGAGATGCCATCTGAGCCTTTTCTACTCTGAATAGTTCCAGAAAACAGGGATAAATCAAAGGATGAATTGGGTAGCTATTGCTCAGTTGACTTTCTTCTACTGAAAGGATCAAAAGCAAATGTCCCTTTCTTTCCCTGTTGCTTTCCTACTTTCCTCCCTTCCCCATCCATACACCTTCTATATGTCATGCTGTCACCTTTTTTCCATAGAATACCACGTACCTGGAATCTTTCTATATCCCAACAAGAAATGTTTAATTTGGAAAGGCGTGCAAATAGAATAGCTCATGCGAGAAATATGAACTGGTTTAGTTAGTTTTAGGCTTTGGACTGATTTATGAGTGATTTATGGTTCCATATGAATAAAACATAATCAGAAACTGTGGAGTGATAGTGCTGTATGTACCAAGAGGAGAGCTGCTCCTGTTACACAGGGGAACATATAGGCCATAATCTAATTATTTTGAGGTTGTGAAAGGTGTGCTAAGTGACTAATTCACTTCACTAATATATGACAAGCCACTTTCATAATGGAAAAAATTACTTCCCGAGATAATTTGTTTTTAACAACTTATCATAGCTGTTACCCTTCTAAGGGTGTATATTTTCCATTATGCAGAAAACTGGTATGGAATAAAAATGCTGATAGACTAAAACCCTTCATTTAGCTTCAAAACAGAAGTTGTTTGGTTTTTTATAATGTATAAGCTGTGGTCTTCGAGATATTGCTCAGAAGACAACCATGTGTTTTATGTGGCCTCTGTTTGCAAAAAAGAAAATATACTTCTTTATGGGGAAAATAAACTAGATCACACTGCAGGAAAAGAAGATTTATGCCACAAAGTTCAAGATTACTCAAATGGAAATTCAGCTCCAGATTTTCCTGTTGTCTCTGTTCTTGCATTCCACTTAAATGTACTGTTGTATTCATACTGAATTGAATGGGATTTGGTGTAGAGGTAAAAAGCAAGACTCTTCTGAGTTTAATACCAGGTAATGACTTTGCTGACTTCAATAGCCAAAGTGACAGTGTTCAGATGCATATTTAACATCTGTTAAATGAACCATTTGGAATAAAATGCACTATTCACTGCCCTTACAATTCTCTCTGTAAATGCATTGTGAAACACCTTGTGGTATTTTTTTTAATCTTTATAAAATTAGTAATGAGGACCCACAGTTCCCAAACATTACTCTCCTCATGTGATGCTTCTTCAGTGTAAATCCAGTCCCATTTCCAAGATGGCAGAGTTGTCTGACAGAGCTAAAACTTACCAGCTCTGTTCTTCTGCCCAAGTCTGGCACAGATGGGCAGATCCTTTCGTGTTCTGGATATTCAGATCCATTAGACACACCCTTAATTGTCTTATTTGTTCTTCTCCATTTATGTTGGCCATCACTTTCTAACAGGCCATTCTCCTCCACCCAAGATAAGCAGCTAGTCAAGCAAATGGTTGAAAAGGCTTGAAAGTACCTATAGGCATGGGATTTTCCCCTGGGCATGTTTTGTCTGGGATTTTTTATGATGTAAAGGTCTTATTGGTAAAAAGAACTGGCCCTACAAGGTCTGGATACCTTGCTGAGAGGGGAATACTAGTTAGCATGCATAATATCCAGTACTGGTGGAGAAAGTAAAAAGAAATCAACTAATCATTTTTTAACTTATGCAACAAGCTGCACTCCTCTGACTGTGTTTTTTTTTTTTCAAATCTGCTTGCTAACTATGATGCACTATGTGCCATTTGTGCTTTAGGGGATTAGGAGTCTAAACCAGTTTCCTGGTGAAAGCAAGAACTTTCTCGTTAAACGTTAGAGGCAAGGTTTTAATTAGTCACAAGGTTCTGGCAGAGAGTTAAGTCCTTCCTTCGATAACCAGCAGTTACAGATGCAGCAAATGTTAATAACCTAATAGGAAGCAAACTAGGCAGGCATACGTTACATCATCCAGAAAATGGATTTCAAGTAGCTTTTTGAGGGACTGATCACACTTTAAACCAAAAAAGTTGTTTATTTTTAATATGGAGATTTGGACCGTTTGCAGCACCTAAAGCTACAGTCCCATCATGTCCCATTTCTCTCAGATCTAGTGTTTAATATGCTCCCCGCTGCACAATTTGAAGTTAAAAATGCCACCTGGTTTAGGGGTGGAGAGGGGAAGAAATTCAAACAGAAACAGTAAACATTCTCAGACTTTTAGCAGCTATGCCTAGATGTCAAAAGAACAAACATAAGAAATCATGAGAGATTTCAATAGCTTTGATTCTGATATGAGCTTTTCAAGCCACAAATGGACTTCTTTAAAGAAACAACAGTATGTATGGGGGTTGTGTGGGAATGGAAAAGGGCTTCCTATGTGAGTGTGACACCAGAGAGGATTTAGTGGGAATGGCAAAGGAACAAAGTTTTATCAAATGCCAGCCTAAAGGCCCAGGAGCCTGATTTTCATCTCCATGCAAAAAGAGAGCAGCCTGCTACACAGCTCCTCCTCCACCATCACTGGAGCCACCAAGGACTTAGATGGGGGAAACTCTCTGAAACAAAGCCTAGCAAATCACAAGGAAACCCCAAATTGAGGGGTTTGAAAGGTTACTGTATCTTTGGGGATACAGTAACTTTAAGGGATGCTTTAGGAATACTGTATCTCAGAGCGATTTTTTGAAAGGTTACTGTCTCATTAGGTATATAGTAACCTTTCTGAAGACTGTATCTTTAGGGATAGAGAGTTGTTACTTTGACGTCTTTCTGATCTTCGGTTTTAACCAAGTAAAACAAAAAGGTAGACTGCTACTTTATTCTCTTAAATAACTAGTCAGTTTAGATATCTTCTGCAGTTTAGGAAGTAAACAGAAGTTGCACTAAGAAATCTTGAGCTTTTGTCATGGCCAAGAAGCAAGACTCTTTTTGGCAGTGGGCAGGGCTTTTCCAGTGGACCCACTGCAGTTTTCCAGCCTCCGCACTCCTGTAACTTAGGAAGTTCTTGAAATGCAACCCAACATCAGTACAGCACCAGGGTGTACTAACGAGACCTCATTTACTGTAGTTTTAGTACAACAGGGAGAGATTGCCAGTGTCCTCTACAAAACATTGTGCTCTAGTGATTTTTCCCCTGGCTTTGTTTCAGACAGTTGTATGATAGGCTGATAACTACATTTTAAACTCAGTCATACAATGTATGCAGCTTTCTGACTTACCCTATTCAAACTGAAGCTCAATATCTATGGCTTGATTTTCAGGCAGCTGAGGAAGCAGGGATTGTTACTTGTCCTGTAAAGCACTCAGCATAACAACTGGCTTTTTGGTGCCACTCCTCTAAAACTGCAGTTGAAGATCACTATCACTAGGTAGTCCCAAACCAGCTAAGAAGCTCCCTTGACAGGTCTTATCCAGACTCCCCCTAGACAAAAGAGAAAATGCAGAGGAGTGGGTATGTATCAGAGACAGAGGAAGAATATTCAAACATTCCCAAGAATTCAACATGGTCACTCAATATTCCGCTCCAAGACAACATCTAGCACTGTCGGTCCTACTGCCTGAGTTTTCCATGTAACCAATTTACAGTAAAGAGAGAAGTTTGCACATGATATTTTGACATGACAACAGTGCTATCAAAAACATTAGGGATCTCCTGCAGCTTTCTCCAGTCTTACTCACAAAAACCTTATGAAAATAACCACACACTCTTTAGCATGAAATCATTCCTGCCATGCTAACAATATTTGTTAAAAGGAGGTAACAGACCACGTATGTCAGCCTTGTAACTAAATATAATTTTCATAATAGACATTCCTCCTGTACAGTTCTTCCTCTGTTCGTAATGTTGAATCAATTTGCAATAGTCCACCTGCTGGGACTTTTTGTTTGCCAGTTTATCCAATCTTTATGAACTAGGCTACCTGTAAATGGCACTTCTAATGGCACTTTGTGTTTATCAGTCTCTGCACATGCAGTATTTTGCTCTACATGTACCAGGAGAAACAAAGTAGAGGAGCTAGTGCTTTCAAAGATGAAGCATTTCAGGCTGCAAGCAACCCTCAAGCTTTGTGAAAAGTAGAATAAGAACACCTGATATCCTCAAGATTTGGGTCTTTTGGAGTCTCCAAGGCTGACAGAGACCACAGTTCCCTGCAGCTTCTCCCCTGCAGAGAATATCCAGAAGTCCTTTGGTATCCAGCCACCTGCTGCCACAAAAGTCTAACATCTTCAATTGCTCAAAGACCCTGCATGTCTCTGTCAGGTCTGTTATAACAGGGAGGGAGACTCCCAAACTGTGTATACACAGATGTGGATATGTGTACAACACACCTGCTGAGTATGGTCCTTTATGAAGGAAACCAAGCTGAAATATGTGCAAGTCAGCCAATACAAAGTCAGTCAATTTTCAAGACAGCTGCTAAAAAGCTTATTAAATGTTTGCTAAACTCTAGGAATCAGACTGAATGCTTGCTACAGAACTGCATACCATGGCATCCCAACAGCAGCCTCTTGAGTACTCCCATCGTGTGGGAGTTAATGGTACAGTATCTCATGAACAGTCCCAACAGAAATGAGAGTTTCATCCACTGGTCACTCAGCCTTAATTAAAAGGACACTTTTCAATTAAACTTCAATGACATCTTTTGAAAAGAAGTTTTACACCTACTATATTCTTTTGGACAAAACAATCTGCTCAGCTGTATTCCCAGATGTACATTTTGTTTCTCCCAGCTTGCTGGGATCCACAGCTATTTAGAAAGAAAGTTAGTTATGTCAACTGCTAGGATTTTCTACAGTACTTATTACATCAGCTTTCCTGAGAAACTTGTCTGAGCAGATCCCCTTTCTTGCTTTCTCCTTTCATAATGTCCTTCACATTCCTCTTCCAATATTTGTTGTTCTCTCTGTGGAAGCTCAGTTGCTGGCATTTTAAGGAAAGGTTACACAGCAAAAGGGTTACTAATAGAGTTTTTTCTCCTTATCCCATGCTCCTGGAGAGACACTGTAGTATGTGGCACCTCTAAAGAAAGGTTTTCCTTCAGGAAAACTTACAGCATTCACTGCCAGTTTCAGAATGAGAAAAGAAATTTGGAGCATAAATGACCTTGGCCACTCTCATTCTAAAAGTGAAGAAGTAAGGAGGAGAAAGAGCAAAAGATAAAACAAAACAAAGAGAGTAAATTGTGCTGTGGTGCCAGTAGAAAGCCAGATCCCTAAATTTTACCCTCATCCCTGATACTTGGGTGACTGTGCCTCTGATCAATTTGCTCCTGTGTGTCTGCTTGCTTCTTGTTGAGCCCTGGTCCTTAGGAAATGGCCTTGGAAGTCAGCAGTCATATGTCTCTCAAAATGTCCTCTAGATAAAAACGTACCAACTGAAGTGTGGTCCACAGACAGCTGACAGTGCTGGACCTGCCCAATTCAGGTCCAAAGCCTTCAAAGTAGGCAAGATAAGAACAAAGGATGTTAAGTCTGGACAGGATTCGAATAAGCTGGAAATGGAGCATAGAAAAAAAATGATAAACATTTCCCACCTCACGTGTATAAACGTGGGTGGCTTAATACACCTGCTCACCAGTGCAAACACGTGCACACACACGTGAGGTGGCGTGTGAGATGGCTGCTTGCTGTTTATTTATGCCGGATCTTGTACAGTCCCTCATTGCAGCACAGCAGTGTGTGCAGGACACAGTCTGCTGTAGGGCTTCAGCTCAAAAGCATGGTAAGGACACTTATTCTGACTACTGCTAAGTAGCTGAATGTGAAGCTGGGAAGTATCTTTTATTCAAATGCAGCTCCTTCTTCTAAACACAGGGGCTCCCACATGACCTTCTTGAGTAGTTTGAGTTTTTCTATACAAACAATGGAGAAGGAAATCTAATTTCCAGCCTAGGATAGGAAACACAGCTCAGTGAACACTGTTAGCAAGGGCAAGCATATTATCTCTGCCTGTTTGAGGGCCTACTGAGTTGAACAAAATCTTTTCATTAGCTGTAGTAGTCTTTATTACACTCCATTTGAATGATTTGTTTAGGATTAAACTTTTATTGAAAAACACACTGCTCTTAATCCCAAGGAATTTTCTTTTCCATGGGACTTGGTAATGCTTCATTCTAGCAAAATGCTGAATGATCTGTGTCATCTAACATGAAGTGTAACCGAAGCATTCTGTATCCTGCAGAAGTGCTTTCTGGACCTCTGTTTTTTAAGAGATCTGTAAAAATCAACAGAAAAAAAACATAAACAAAATATTTTGAGTAGGCTTAAATTTGGTACAAATAGGCCCTCATCTTTACTGGATAACTTCTAAAGAAGTCATAAAAAACAAACAAATGAAACAATTCAAAATCACTGTGCTTCAACAGCAGAATCATCTAAAAATTAGCTTAGGATCAGGAATCTGGGCAGATAACTAAAGCAATGAATAATAAAATAGTCAAGCACTGGGTACCCAGTTAATGTATCAGCATCCTGATAAACAATGCTAAAAGAACAGGAAATTATTGAAGCAGAAGGCTTCATTTACTGTTCTGCTAGGATTACTGCTTAGGAAGTCACTAATTCACATTCATAATGAATACTAGAAGTGAGCACAGGCAGAAACTTGCCTGTTACCCAAATGAGTATGACTAGTGCTGAATGTGTCTTTTACTAATCTTTTTTACAGTCTTCTTCACTTCCAGAAAGGCAAGATTATTTGGGAGGTTCCATTTTCCCACTTAAATGCAGAATCAGACACAAGGAGTTCTTCCAGGAGCTCTTTAGGTTTTGGTTTCTTCTGAGCAGAAAGAACATCAAAGAGTAACAAAGCCCAAAGCACCTGCTTCAACCTGCAGGTTAGCCAACCTGCTTGTTGGATTGGGAATTTTATTCTCTTTTTTGGAAGACAAAAAAGAAGGAGAAGGGGGGAGAAAAAGAAATAAAACTATCCAAAAGCAGTATTCTGTTCTTGTTCCAGTTGATCTGTTTAGGATTTTGTCAATGGCTTTTGCCAGACCATGAAATCCTTCTGTGTATGAAAAATAGCACCTCTCCCATGGTACAGTGTGACCCCCCTGCTCCTTTTGACAGAAATCACTCACAAGATCACAGGAATACTTTCCCACTTTTGCTTTCTTAGGAGCCCTGTGTAGGATGGGCTGCTGTCACAGGTAAATCCAGCTGGGTTAGTAACAGACTGGAAGATGTGGCTTCTACAGAGAAAGGCAGACCCAGGACAAACAAAATGACATGAAATAGAAAGGGAATTTATAACCACAATTTACCCTCCCCCTCTTCCATTTTTACCCCTTCCTCTCTTCCTGCTTCATCCCTTGTCTTCCTACCCTTTTGCAAAAATCAAAAATAGCACTGGTCATGTTACAGGTACAGACCATTTGTCAAAGATTTGTTTCCTCTCTCTCTGTGTGAGTTAATCATTCCCAGCAAGCTTTCTGGGGTGATGAGTCAGTAGCACAAAGAAATGACAGATTAAATGTGGTGTTTATTTTCCTCTGCTTTTTTTTAAGCATGGCTGTCTCCCCCATCTGCAAGCATAGAGGAAGGGGTAACCAAATGTACTGCAGCTGGGAGCTCTAAGGATAATGCCTCCAAAACCTGCAGCTTCCAGTAAAAGCCTTGTATTTTTTGTATTCTTTTTGCTGTTTACTCAGCAACACACTGTGTTAAAAGTTGCAACATTCATCTTTAAACATTAATTACCAAGGCATGATTACTTCAAAAATCCACTGCCTGAGGCCAGAGCCTAGGAAGTGGAAAATGTAATTTCAGAAAGCGATGAGAACAAATGCTGAGCCTTTTAATTGCAGGTTAGAACAAATGACTAACAGTAAAGCAAAACTCATTTTGGACGAATTTGTTGTTCTGCATGTCAAATCTAAAACTTAGCAGTGAGTTGCCTGGGGTTTGTTCTTTCCCCTTACTCTTTTTGTAAAAGACGGGGAAGCTGATGAATTTTTGAGAGGTTCAGGAAATACTTTTCTAAAAATTCAGCTGCAATTATTTAAAATAAAGAAAGAAAGACTAAATGATGCATACAAAGTCAGGCAAAAGTTGCAATCATTGTTGGACAATTACTGTGCTCTTTTGGACCTCCATTTTAGGATGAAGGCTGCAGTGATTCTCAGCATCTATCTCCTTCTCCCTCAGTTTTACTGAAATGTATCTGGAATTACCAACAGTATAACAATGGATTGAGCCTGCTTCATCATGTGTGGCAACACAAGATTACATATGCTGCTGTGACTCAATGTTACCCTATCGAGTGTCCCAGCCTGCTGCCAACAGAACCACTGCAATAGCAAAGGCATTTTCATCTCCACCCTTCTGGCCTTGCTGCTGGCAGAATAGGGACAGCCCTGCATGAGCTCTTTTGCAGGGCATCAAAGGCACTTCTTTTCACACAAATGTAGAGAATTTGTT